TTGAAACACCAGTGGCATAGCCTCCAGCCTCACAGCAACACACAAGCCACCACAGTACAACAAACTGACAGACGAGTAGAGCACGTCAGCAGCAATCAATTATAAATTCAGCATTCTTGCCATCTGGACAATTTTCCCACTGATTTCTTCTATCATATTGTCCTGACCAAATGCTTGGTGTGTACTTATATAACTTAAAAGTATTTTTTTTCATATCCCTTGCATGCATTTTCTTGTAACTTCCTCTCAGGAAGATGCAACGTTCTGTATATTAAAATTATTATTAATACTAGAATATTATAATTATTTCAGAAATCACATAATGTTACCCTACCATCAGTTGTAGCTACTGCTTAAGCAAATGTATGCCTTGATAGGTAGTATGCCTTGAAGGTAGCGATTACACCTTGGTCCACTGGCTGTACTCATAGTTGCCCTATTAGGAGGGAGATGCACCACTTTGACATCTTGAGTTAGACCATTATGTGTGGAGGTTGTCCTGGGGCATTACCAAGTAGCAATAGTATCTTGAAAGGAATGCTCCTTTTAAGACAGTATGCATACACTTGTGTGATGAAACAATTTAAAAACCAGTCTCTGAGTAACACAACTGTAATGCAGGCCCTGCCATTACTCCTGTAGCAGGCTTGCAGCTTATTCTTGTCAATGTTTTTTTAATGCGTAGGGGTTTTCAGACAAGAGAAGGTTTTAATTTAAATCCAGCAACATTTTTTCCAAGCTACAGTGTGTTTCTATCTTTAAATGAAATTAGGTATCAATTCCGCATCTTTAAGAATATAAGTCAGTTCTGGTATCCTTTTCCTAAATAAGCCTGCTCCATCCACATTTAAAGTCTTACCCTAAGTAATATGTACTGTATACAATGTTGCAGCATGTAATTTGCTGATGTTATAAGAAAAAGAAAAAACAGACAGTTATTAAGTGCAGTTTGTTGTAATTTGAATACATAGTAAATTGGGTACTACCTGTACTCCCATATTTACCCTCCCCAGCATTTGTCATTGTTTTGTGTAGACGGAAGTATTTTTTCTGTTATGATTTTCCTTCAGCCTGAAGAACTTCCTTTAACATTTCTTGTACAGATCTATTGGCAACAAATTTTCTCAACTTTTATTTGAAAATATATTTGATTTTTGAAGGCTATGTTAACAGGACATATTTATGTCATAGACTGACACCTTTTTTCCTTTTGTCACATTAAAAATATTCTGGTTTGCATTGTTTCTGATGAGAAATTTACAATCATTCTTATCTATATCCCTGTATCTAATATGTCTATTTTTCTCTGTTTTATCTCTTGATTGCTAATTTTTCAGTACTCTGGATATGGCTTGGTATCATTTTCTTTGTGTTTATCCTGTTTGGAATTCATTGAGTCCCTTGGATCTGTGAATTCAGTGCTCATAAGATTTGGAAATTTTTCAGCTATTTTGTCTGATTCCTTCTTGGCTTCTCTCCTCTGGAACTCAAATTACACAGGATAGACTGTTTGACTGCCCCACAAGTCACTGAGACTCCATTAATGCCTCCCCCCCAACAAGACTTCTCTCTGTATTACAGTTTGGATAGTTTGTATTTCTGTCTTTTAGTATACTGATCTTCTCCTCTGTACTGTCTAACCAGCTGTTAAACCTATGCAGTCAGTGCATTTTTCATTTTAGATATCTTTTATCTCTAGAAGTTGTAATTTATTTTTTTTATCTTCTATTTATATCCTCATTATTTGTTTCCTTTGAATTTCTCAAATATTTATAATAGCTATTTAAGATCCTGCAACGAAGGAACTGGCGAAGAACAAGGCTCCGGGAATTGACAGAATACCCATTGAGATATTTCAACAAACGATGCCCTACTGGAGGCACTCACTCAGTTATGCCAAGAGATTTGGAAGACAGCTACCTGGCCAACTGACTCAAAGAGATCCATATTTGTATCCATTCCAAAGAAAGGTGATCCCACAGAATGTGGAAATTATCAAACAATATCATTAACATTGCACACAAGTAAGATCTTACCGAAGAAAATTCAAAAACAGTTGCAGCGGTATACTGACAGAGAACTTCCAGAGGTGCAAGCTGGATTCCGAAGAGGACGTGGAACAAGGGATATCATAGCTGTTGTCAGATGGATCTTGGCTCAAGGCAAAGAATACCACAAAGATGTTTACTTGTGTTTTATTGACTATGCAAAGGCATTTGATTGTGCGGATCATGACAAATTATGAATAACATTGAGAAGAATGGGAATTCCCAAACACTTGATTGTAGTCATGAGGAACCTGTACCTTGACCAGGAGGCTGTCGTTCAAACGGAACAAGGGGATACTACATGGTTTACAATCAGGAAGGGAGTGCGTCAGGGTTGTATCCCTTCCCCACATTTATTCGATCTATATTCTGAGCAAATAATCTGAGAAGCTGGACTATATGAAGAAAAACATGGCATCAGGATTGGAGGAAGAATCATTAACAACCTGAGATATGCTGATGATACATTTTGCTTGCTGAAAGTGAGGATGACTTGAGGCACTTACCGATGAAGATTGAAGAATACAGTCTGCAGTATGGACTATGTCTCAATATAAAGAAAACAAAAATCCTCACAACTGGACCAATAAGCAGCATCACAATAAATGGAGAAAAGATTGGGGTTGTCAAAGAATTCACATTGCTTGGTTCTACAATCGATGCCAATGGAAGCAGGAGTCAGGACATTAGATGACGTGTAGCATTGGGAAAGTCAAGAGCGAAGGAATTGTTTCAAGTGCTGAGGAGCAAGGATGTCTCCTTGGGGACTAAGGTGTGCCTGACACAAGCCATGATATTTTCAATCGCCTCGTATGCATGTGAGAGCTGGACAATGAATAAGGAAGACCGAAGAAGAGTTGATGCTTTTGAGCTGTGGTGCTGGCGAAGAATGCTGCAAGTACCATGGATTGCTAAAAGAACTAGCAGATCTGTCCTGGAGGAAGTGCACCCAAAATGCTCCTTGGAAGCAAGAACGGCCAGACGCCGTCTCACCTACTTTGGTCATGTTGTCAGAAGGGACCATTCTCTGGAGAAAGAAGTCATGCTTAGTAAGGTGGAGGGTTGAAGAAAGAGGGGAAGGCCTTCAACGAGATGGATTGACACAGTGGCTGCGACAACAGGCTCAAGTATAGCAGGGATCACAGAGCTGGCACAGGATCAGGCGGTGTTTCGTTCTGCTGTTCGTGGGGTCGCTATGAGTCAGAAATGACTCAACGGCACCTAACAACAACATTTAAAATCCTTGTCTGTTCCATCACTTCTGTTATTTTTTTATCATGTTTGTATTACCTGATTTTTCTCCTGATTTCAGGTCACATTTTCCTGCCTCTTCCCAGTAATTTTTCATTGGATGCTGGACTCTGTGAATGTTTCATTGTTGACAATCTGAATTTGGTGGTCTTCCTTTAACAAATTTTAAGCTTTTTTTTTGGTAGGCAGTTATGTTACCTGCAGATCAGCTTTCAAGATTTGATTTTAAGATTTATTAGCATGAGTTTATGATAGCCTTTAATCTAAGACTATCTTAGCCTTAATATTAAGATTTGACTCTTCTGGGTTCTTACTGAATGTCAACAAACTCCCCACTGTAGCTGGTCAGAGTCCACTATCTCTCAACCCTGTGTGAGCTCTGAGAATTGTTCAGCATATAGCTCCTAGTGGTTTTTCTTTGCCCAGCCTCTTGAAATCTCACTCTAGATATGCAGAACTTTGTATTCAACCAAAGACTCAAAGAGACCCCATGCAGATTTCTGGGGCTCTGTATCTGGGTAACTCTATGTTACTCTGCCCCACAAATTTCAGCCAATTCAGTCTCTCCTAACTCTGATCTCTGTCTTTTCAACTTAGTGAAATCATCATGCTCTACTTGGGATCCTCATCCCTTACTATGATCCAGAAAGCATGCCCAAGCAGAAAGTCAGGATCATCTTTCTTTCTCTTCTCTCAGTGATCAATCCTGTACTGCCAGTTTCCAACGTCTGAGAAGAATTGTTTCATAGATTTTGTCTAGATTTTTATTAATTTATAATATGAGTAAAAGTCTGAAATCAATTATTGTATCACAGCCAGGAAAAGAAGTTTCCTCTCAGGTCTTTTTTTTTTTTTTTTTTTAATTTTTATTGTGATTTGGATGAAATTCTACAGAGCAAATTCATTATCCATACAGTAGTTCACACACATTTTGTTTCATGACATTGACTGCAATTCCTCACAGTGTAACAGCTTCTAGTTCTTTTTTAAGGATGTGATTTTGAATTATCTTTCTTATACTAATTTTTCTCCAGTCATGAATGTGTTAAATATGATAAAAGTTTTAAACATAACCATCCCTTTGCAAGTCATCATAATTTTTAACTGGTACACAATAAATCACCTTTATATGAAAATATATCTTCCTCAATTTTCAGCCATGATACACAACTTTAGTGCTGATAATAGAACTGAATTCCTTACTTACCCAAAATTTCTTTAATTTAAACATCATAAAATATACTTCTTTGTAAGTAGCAAGGTTTCTTTTGTTCTTTTTATTCATCAAACAAAATATAGTTACTTTGAATGATCTCTTTTGCTTTTCTTACACTGGTTATAGAATTAGAAAGCAAAATAATTAACAGCTATAAATGACGTAAGAATAAACTATCACCAGACCTTTCCTCCACAGTGCCATTGGGTGGTTTTCACTTGCCAACCTTTAAGTTAGTAGTTGAGTGAAAATTGCTTACGTCATCAAGGGACCTTATAAAAACAACTTAAATAATAAATCATATACATGTAGGCATATACATAAATGCACACATATATGTATATACATGCACAGGTGCATATAAATCACATATATATATGATAAAACTTAAATGTATCTTAAAATATAGGCACAGTCTATTTTTATAAACTAAAGCAAAATATTCCAAGAAGACAGGGAACAGGAAACATAAAATGGTAATTTACCTCTTATTTGTCTGTCAACTACTCTCATTTCCTTCCTTATCTTCAATGACCATTCATTGACCTGGGGAAAAAATTAAAAATAAATAAGGATGTCAACATTCCTAATTCAACCAATTTTAAAGTTCATATTGCTTTTATATTTATACCAGACATAAAATAAATAAAGCCATTTCCAAATAAATATTTTTTCTTTCTTTTTTTGACCTCTTTTCATTCACAGTGCATAGAAGTCTCAAGCTATTCAAAGACTCATACCTGAAGGCAGTCAATGAGAAATCAGCCCTTTATATAAGATCTTGGAGGGAGTATGTTACTGTTGCAAGTGCACAAAGATTTTTCAAGAGGTGCAGTGACAGAAAATGTTAAGGGTATCAGATACATACAAACATTTCAAAAACTGCTCTGAGGATATGTGTCATGAGAGTTCACTTTTTCCTTCTTTCCTATCACAGTAGTAATTCCCCACTTTGCAAAAGAAAGGTGTTCCAAACACTCTGAAGCACTAACAATGGGTCAACTGGAAATACTGGCTATGTAGTAATAAAGTAGTGAATGCTCTATTGATTATCAAGATTTTATATTACATAACAACAACAACAAATATAAGTGATGTATTTTCCAATCCTTTCAATAAAAATTGAAAGAGGATCTCAGTTGTCAACTGATAAATTATTAAAAGTAATTTTTATCCAAAACCACTATGTGCTCTTTGGCATGACTCACAAGAAGTTCAAAGAACTGAGTAACACTGACATAAAAACTTCTTTCCATTCCTATCTGATTTATGATTGTAAGATTTCTCAGTGTTGGAACCTAATAAAACATAAAACAGGAATAGGATTGATGCTGAACTTTGTATAATTCATATGTAGCACTCATTCACAAATACGTTAATTGAATGGCAAAAAAAAAAAAATCCATATTGTTAGAAGATGTATTTCCAATAAATTTTTATTTTTGTTTAACAATTATAGTAAAAATATTTACTATGCATTAATAATTATTGTAATAACTCCATAAGGAAAACATATTTTAAACACTTAGAACTGTATTGTCAAAATTTAAAAAAAAAAATTTAAAGTTAGGTTCATGTACTTATTTTTATTCCAAGTATGATAACATGATTAATAAATTTTCAAGCATAAAATTGCCACATTAGGAAAAATTCAGGAAGTGAAAGTGAGATGGAAATAAAAGGTAAAGGAGAAAAGGGATTAATAAAAAAAGTTTGACTTAATGCGTGTATGTTTAAAATGAATGATGATGGAGACCTCGAATAAGCAAAGCACTACTGAAGAAGAGGGAGCTCTAGTGGTGTAGTGCCTAAGGCATTTGACTGCTAACCAGAAGGCTGGCGGTTCAAACCCACCAGCTACTCCTTGGAAGGAAAGTTGGGCAATCTACTTCCAAGTGATACCACCTTGGTAACCCAAGGAGGGGTCACTACGAGTTGGATCCCACTCGACGGAGTGAGTATTGAAGAAGAATAAAGTAGGAGGTTTCACACTCCTGGATCTCAAAACCTACTATACAGCCACAGTAGTCAAAATAGCCTGGCACTGGTACAATGACAGACGCATAGACCAGTGGAACAGAATTGAGAACCCAGAAATAGATCCATCAACCTAAGGTCAGCTGGTTTTTGACAAAGGGCTGAAATCATTGAATGGGCAAGAGGTGGTCTCTTTTTAACAAACAGTGCTGGCAAAACTGGATATCCATTTGCAGAAAGAACAGAACAAGATCTGGACCTCATACCATACACAAAAACTAACTCCAGATGGACCAAAGACTTAAATGTGAAACCTAAAACTATAAAGCTCCTCAAGGAAAAAACAGAGGCAAATTTAGGGGTAATTTATGGCAAAAATACGACTGTCAAGCATAACCCAAAATGCACAAACAACACAAGATAAACTAGATGAATGGGATCTTCCAAAAATCAAATTTTTATGTGCTTCACAAGACTTCTCCAAAAGAGAATCTACAATTGGGAAAAAATATCTGGCAACAACTTATCTGACAAGGGACTTATCTCTAAAATTTACAGAAAATTCCTACACCTTGACAACAAAAAGATTAACAATCCAATTTAAAAATGGACAGAAGACATGAACAGACACTTCACCAAGGAGGATATTCAGGCAGCCAGCAAATATATGAAGAAATGCTCATGATCATTAGCTGTCAGAGGCATATCAAAACAACGAGATACCATCTCACCCCAGCACTAATAGCAAAGTTCAACAATACAGAAAATAACAAATACTGGTGAGCATGTGGAGAGACTGGGACTCTTGTACACTGCTGGTGGGTCTGTAAAATGATACAACCACTGTGGAAAACACTACTGCAATTCCTTAAAAAGTTGGAATTAGAAATACATTTGACCCAGCAATCCCATTACTAGGTATATATATTAAAGAAGTGAGAGCCAGGACAAGAACAGATAAATTTATACCCATGTTCACTGCAGCACTATTTACAAAACAGATGGAAACAACCTACGTGCCCATCAACAGAAGAATGGATAACCAAGCTATGGTACATACACACAATGTAATACTATATACCACTAAAGAATAATGTAGAATCTGCAAAACACCACATAACATGGATGAACTTGGGGGACATTATGCTGAGTGAAATAAGTCAATCACAGAAGGTCAAACATAGTATGAGTTCATTATTGTAAAAATTCAAGGAAAAGTTTATATATGGAAAGAAACTTTCTTTGCTGGTTACCAGGGGTAGGAAGGGAGAGGAGGGAACACTGCAAAAAAAAAAAGAAATGCATTGACCCATGTCACTTTAGTTTTGTGTATTTCACTGTACATAAATTATATTTCAATAAAATGCATTTTAAAAAATAATAAAATGGATGATGCTGGGCATTAAATTGCTGTGATATTCAGTCTACTGAATACTTTTAAAATAGATACCAACATTTATGCTATATCAAAAATTACATCATATCCAACTCTACTTAAATCTATCATAATATATACACATTATATTTAAATTATTTTACTATCTATTAATATATTAACAAAGTATAACATAATGTCACTATATTTAAATTATATTAATTTAACGCTATACAAACAAAACAATACATAGTTACTCAAAATTATTTTAGGTGGTACATAATCAAAGAAGTTTTAAGATTCCTCTGCTGTACATTAACCAAAACTTTCTGAAACTGCAAGAAAGGAAATCCAAGCTTCATAAATTTATTAAAAATGTTTATTCAGCATCTGCAATAAGCCAGGCATTGTTCAAGGTGCTACTTATACAAAAGGATACAAAATAATCAAAAACTTGAACCTTATGAAGTTTACATTCTAATGAGTACAGACAAACAATAAGCAAATAAATATACAAATATCCACTGTCATATACCAGTAAAATATCTTTCAAAAGTGAAGGCAACTTCTAGTTTCAGCTTTGACATACAAACAGCTTAGAAGTCATTACTTCTATCCTTACAATAAGAAAAAGGGTGAGCAAACTGAAAATAAACAATAATTTTTATTCACAGACAGAATTTATTTTTTAATTTTATTGTGCTTTGGGTGCAAATTTACAAAGAAAATTTGTTTTACATTCAACAGTTTGTGCATTTGATTTCACGCCCAATTACCATCCCCAACCACAACAAGCTCTCCTCCCGCCCCTGTGACTATCCTTTCCCTGTGCCCTTCTTAACTATGCATTCCTGTCTGTCCAGCTTTCCCTCAATATGAATGCTGCCCCTGTGGTGTCTCACGGCTGATTGATCTAAGGAGTTATCTCCCTAGAGTAGGTGGGTGCACTGCCCTGGGGTAGGGGCTCTGTATGGAGGTCTTTCTACTATTGGGCTGAGAGCCAATCCATGTGAGTGTGTCCATTTCTAGACCCAAAGGGTAATCCAGGACCACAGTCTCAGGAGTTCCACCAGACTCTATCCAACCAGTAATTCTGGTCATTTTTGTCTTTTTAAATTTTGTTCCAGATATTTCTTCCCACTCTATCCAGGATCTCCAGTTTTGATCTCTTTCTAACTGGTTGGCATTGGTAGTTGGGCATCACCTAGTTCTGGTCTTGGGGTCATGAAGGCTGAGGTGGTCATGGTCCATCTTACCCTTGGACTAATTGTTTCCAGATGTCTTTGATTTTCTTCACTCTTCCTTGATTCAGATGACAGGAGACTAATACTTACATCTTAGATGACCGTTCAAAAGCTTTTAAGATCCCACTTACTATTCACCAAAGTAGGATTAAACAACTTTTCTTGGACCCATCAGAGAACTATGGTCATAATGCAAACTGCTATCCAAAATCTGAAGTGAAAGGTGAATACAAAGAGTCACAGCTGAGTTCTGTTCATTGGGAACAGAAACCATCGGAACCATAATAAAATGGTAGGAACACTTAAAAGGTAATTTTTGTGAACTGCTGGAGGCTCAGCGTGTCCCAGAGTGAGACTGAGAAACTCCTGGCAGCCCTGCATTTTCTTGGGTTTTACCTGCAGGAACACCAGGAGGTTCTCATGGAGGATCTCATGATCCTCTCTTATTTCTGGCAAAAAAGGAAAAGTAACTGTTTTGAAATATGTCCAGTGTTCTCTATAAAAAAGGCCTACTCTCCAGGGGAAATAATATTACTAGACCTTCATTTACCTTGAGAAAGGGCATTTAACCAATTCCAGTTCCGTCCAGCCTTCTTGCCTCACTAAGTGGAGAGCAGAGAGGAATTAAGAAACACTTGTGATGGTTACAGCACAGGGACATAGGCCCACTATAGAACTTAAGTTTAATCATAAGATTATAGAAAGCTACCCCTTCCTCCTACCAACATACCATCAAGGCTTCAGTATACTAACAATCCAATACAATATGATAACAGCTAAAAGGGCTACAAGACATAAACTCTATTTAAGAAGCTCTTGTTGTTGTTGTTATGTGCCATGGGGTCAGACCCAACTCATAGCGACCCCTCCTTACGTTTCCAAGGCAGTATCACTACAGAAGTAGATTGCCCAACCTTCCGAGGAGTGGCTGGTGGGTTTGAACCACCAGG